GGACACAAAAAGCACTAACCATAAAATAGATATTTTATAAATTGAAATTTATGCTTACAATTAAAATTAATAACTTATGCTATTATGCTATCAAAAGACAATGTTAAGAAAGAAAAAAGACAAATCACAGAATAAGAAAAGATTTTTTTTTTTTTGTAACATACATGAGTAACAAAGGTTGGTATCTAGAAAATATAAAAACTTCAAGTTAACAAAAAGACAACCCAGACAAATAGACAAGATACTTGAACAGGTACTTCATAAAAGATAATATAGAAATGGCCAGTACACATTGAAAGACATATTCAACTTCATTAGTAATCGTGACAATATGAATGAGAAGTACTGTTTGCATACAGTTGACCAACTAATTAATGGTCATTCTCACATATTTTCTGAAGCTAGAATATAAAATCTCTGTTTGGCCAATTTGATTGTTTATTTTTCTTACTGAGCAAATTTTAAAGACCATTCCACTTCAGATTTACTTATTTCCCTCAGTGAATCAGAATAAGAGTATGCTGTGCTCTCCCCTGGTTGAACAAACATCATTTGAAGATCCAGAGTTCATCTAACCTTGCATGTTTCCAGTAATTATTTTATATACTAACATAAAAGCTCTTTATTGTATATGAGAACGTATCATCAAATGGTATAATATGATATATATATATAAAGCAAGGGTTTTCAGATAATCTTATGTTTTGAAAGAAAACATTTTAAGAAATAAATATTTTGTGCCTTTTAATTTATCTTCTCATCAAGAACCTTCTCAGGTGATAGTAAGTCTTCAGGAAAAGTTGATAGCATTTTTATTTACATAGTTCATTTCAAGAAACATTTATATGGGACCTATCATGTTGTAGGCACCATACAGGCACTGAGGTGGTAGGGGGAAGATAGATGAGATGCATTTCCATCTTTTCAAGGAGATTATGTTCTAATAGGAGAGATATGCAGTTTGGTACAGTTGTGACCTAAAGAATTAAGGCATAATGGTAAGAAAAGAGAGGAAGAAAGACCCAGGCTATGAAGGACTGTATGTGCCATAGTAAGACATTTCGACATCATTCTGAAAGCAATCGGGAGTCATTGCAAAATTTAACTTGAGGTAGAACATAATCAGATAAAATTTTAGAAGGATCATTCTGGTATAAGGCTTAGAAATCCTGGTGTTGAAGAAATAGCAAGCCAACTAGCAGCTTTTGTTCCTACTAAAAATTGGAGACCATACATTTGCAGAATTAGCAACCTGCAAATGCACTATTTAGCGATATTTGGTGACCAAGTTTAAAATCAATTTTGCAGTTTTAATGTGCAGGTGGAAAATAAGCTAACAATGATAAGAGAGTTAAGGATATTAGAAAGATAGTATTTGATGTGATGGTTCATGTACCCCAATCCAAATAAGAAAGAAAGTTAAGACAGTATAGAATTGATAATTTGAGATGTGGGGAGTAAAGATAAAGAGACTGGAATTCTTGATGAGGCTGAAAAAGATATATGGTAGGAATGAGGAAGAGGAGCAAGGAGAACAAGAAATTGTGTTCAGAGTCTAACATTAGAGTTTAAGTTTTCAAAGTCAAGGTATTTCTGGGTGAATACAGGTTCTGTGTGACCATGGAAGTGAAAGGCTGATGTACAGAAGAAACGGAGGTCAGTTCCTTTTAGGAAGTCTGAGAACTGTGAGGTGTTATTAATGTGGTCATCCACAAAGGGTTGGAGGAAGAGAAGACACCGTGCCAGGCTCCAGAGCCTGCAGTGGGTGTTGGGAAAGAAACAATAGGCTTGAGATAACAGACAATACTACAAGGGTGATAGAGCTGTTGGCAGTGACTCAGAAGTACAGAGTTTTGTGTAGGAGGGAAGACAAATATCTAGACGGGCCATTCTATCTGGGAAGAGAGAGGAATGCTAACCCTACCCCCGCGCCAAGATACAGGAGTTGTACAGAATAAATAGCCTCCTCTCTGGATGGCTAGAGGGAAGGATTCTTCTCAGAGTAGAGTAAATAGTCTAATAGAATGCTTTGCAAATTAGTGAAAGTCCAAGCGTAACTTGTTTACATACAATAAAACAAACATTATAAAATAGTGGTTATTAAACTTCTTTGAGTATCTCGTAGAAGTTATGAACCCTTCCCTGAAAAAGTTTATTATAAACACAAAGGCAATTTTAAAGACCTCCTATCCCAACCCTGAAACCTATCCTGGACCTTATATTAAGAGCTCCTATTCTAAAATGTATAGTGGAGAATGTAAGAAAGAGACAATCTGCAGGCAGTAGGGGGAAAACAAGCAGTGTTTCAATAAGATAAATAGAGAAGATAGACACCCTGAAGAATAGTCATGAATTATAGGAATTTCTGGCATGGTGGCCTCAAATTAGTTTCACCAATTAGCAATTACCAAAGCAAGCTAAGGCCGCAGTATTGTTGGGGGTTTGTTGACTCTAGGAAGGGTCTACCTGGACCTCATACGCCCTGAGAGTAGGTGCCCAGTGTTCACATGCTGCTGGTACATGATACAGAGTGTAGAATTACAAATAACCTAACTAGCCATCCATTCCTTTTTTTAAAAACCTGATATCTCTTTCAGAATACAGTGATTTTTCGGAGATGAGTGAGTTTATTAAAACATGTGAAATGCCAAAATTGGAACAAGAAGAAACAAGAAAGATGAATAAGCCAACAACCAGTAAATACACTGAAATAATAATCAAAGACATCTCAATCAAAGACATCTTCCTTTAGAATTTTTCTTAGCTCAGTTGGCTTTACAACTAAATTCTACCAGAACCACAAAGTTGAAATTATTCTTGTATTACACAAATAGTTCAAGAAAACAGGAAAGGGAGAACACTACCCAACTAATTTGATGACATTGGTGTGACTTCAATTCTACAACTTTTATTCTAAAACATTGTCCTTATCATATTCTTTTCATAGTGATAAACTGAAAATGTGAATAAAGAACAGACTGATAAATAGAAAGGAAAGGAAAAGACAGGTTCATTTTATTTATAAACAGATGTAGTAGCTAACCAAATCCAGTATTGTATTTAAATACACTGCATAAACTGTTTTTATCCAGTAATTAAACTGAAAACCTAATAAAAATTTAAAGGAAATATCTTTAGACTGATTTCATCACATTTCTAGTTTTTAATACATCTTGTTCAATCTCTAGTAATCTACTGAAACTTAATATTACCCTGAAGTCAAATGCAGTGATATTGATAGGACATGTCTCACCAAACAGATGCCGATGTCAGTAGCTCAGGCAGTTGTCCAGAAGGAAAATGGCCTTCAACACACCCGGAAGATGCTACATGTTGGTGATCCAAGTGTGAAAAAGACTGCAGTCTCTCTGCTGAGGAATTTGTCTCGCAATCTTTATCTGCACAATGACATTGGTGAGTCAGTAAAAGTGTCGATATAATGTATGCATATTGAAAGTACAAATGCAGTAGAACATTGTCTTTATCTCATTCTTTTTACGATGATGAACTGAAAATGTGAATAAAGAACCAATTGTGATAAAAAGTCCTGGCTCTTGTGCACCCAAGCATCAAGGGTAGGCTTTCTCACTAGGTCTCAAATAGGATTTTACTTAATATCTACATTTTTTTTTGTTTTGATTACCACAGAAGAGAAATTTTAGACTGTACTAATAATTAACACGTAGCTATCTTTCAGAATGTTCTCTGCATGGCCTGCTGAGCATCACTCTTCTAAAACACGCACGCACGCATGCACGCACGTAGTGGTTGTTTGCTTTAGAAGCTTGGCAATTGTTGGACTAAAAACATATGGATAGACCGATAATCACTTTTAAAAAAGGACAAAAAGGAGTCATTGAATATAGCGTACTTGGCATAGATGGTTTGAGAATAAATATGAAATATATTTCCCCCTTTATTTGAGTCTGTGTTATTGACAATGGTGATATCATGTTATACCTAGCAAATAACAATTTTTCATTTATTTGCTTTATACCTAGAAATATCTGATAAATGTTTGCAAATCAAGCCAAAAACTATAAAATGAGACAAAAGGGAAAATAATAACTGAAATTAATCATGCTCCACAAAGTAGTCATTTCTGAGAACTTGAAATTCAGTTCTCCACAAAGTTGCACTAAAACTATAAACAGATTTTTGTTTATGTTTATTTTTTTAATGGATTGGATTTTTCTGAAACTGCACACACACACCACCACCACCACCATCACCACCACCACCACCACCACCACCACCACCACCACTCCCCACCAGAGATACTGAGGTCCAGGATTATGTTTTAATAATGTCATTTCCAAAGACAGCCAGCAGCACAACATTGGACAGGTGGTTTCATGCCCATTATAAATATAAAGAGCCTGGCAGTTTTCCAGTGAATCTGAAAGAAGCCTTGCTATAGGCACTGTCATCATTATGAAAGTGTTCTCCCCATTGTTTTCTGAGGACGTTTGTGCTGCACTTTCATCGGGTGTATTATCCTTCGACTTTTTTATCTTTTCCCAAGTGAGATGTTGACTCCATCTTTTAAAACATTGATAATGAAAATAACTGCACTCTGCCTTCAGGGCAGAAATACTGTGGTCTCAGATCCTGTAGTCCTCCAGCTATTGGGAAGGTAAAGCTGTATAGCTTCACAGTTTCTATAAGATGATATCACTGATAAACCTCTCCTCATTTTAAGGACAGTAGTGAGAAGAGGCTTCAGCAAGACAAATGCAGTTTTAAATTCTAAATTGGCTTTATGTCAAATACATAAATTGAGTATAAGGACCTGTCTTGATTCCACATATTAATAACCAGGAATAAATGAAATTCAGTTTGAAATACGTGCTTTGTGTTCTCATGAGAGACTTCTGGGCCAGGTAAAACTTGTCATGTACTGGAATGAGGTCATCACATTTTACTTAACTTTATAGTAATAAACTTAAAACTTATATTTTCTTAAAAATTTGAAGATAGGCAACTTAATGTGGTGACAGAATAATAGATCTCATGCAGAAGACATGGCGCTGCTTCATGCAATGCTGCTTTGCCACCCATGTCACCTTGGTTTGTCATTTAACTGCTCTAAACAGAGTGAAATTAATAATAACTAACAGTGTTTTCCCCGGGATCAGATGACATAATGTACAGCATTTGCAAGCACCAGGAAGTATTTGGATACATCCCTATATTCTCAATTCACGTAAACTCATTGTTACAGATGTTTTCAGAGATCCAGCTCATGTCTTGGCTTTTTAAGGCATTGAGTTTAGGCCATTACTGCATCCTGTGGAGAGATCGATTGGGCATTTTCTGTTGTGATTGTCACAGACTTATTTCTGTGTCATTGTCCTAAATTCAGTGGAAGGAAAATTAATTCTGTGGTTTAACTTATTAAAAAGAAGAAGCTTTCCAATAATAACTCGTATCTATTGAGACCTTCCTATATGCAGGGTACTATGATACAGTTAACATGTACTAACTTACTTAATCCCTCAAAACAACCCTGTGAAGTAGAAACTTTTATTACCCCATTTTACAAATTTGGAAAATGCAGCAAAGAGAGGTTAAATCACTTGCCCAAACCACCCAGCCATTAACTGGCAAAGACAGGACTGAAACTAAAGAAGTGTGGCTTCAGAGGTTGAGATCTGAGCTCTTAACACTATGATGCAATGCTTAAACAATAGTAAAAAACAAAGTGGCCTTTGAGCAGGAGGTATGTCTTTTCTGTCAGTTAGGTACAAGTAGTATCAAAGGACAACATATCATTGAGTATCTTTTATGAGTACCTCTCTGTTTTAAGCATAGTGATCAATGTTGGAAATCCAGAAATGAATACAATAATTGTCCTCAAAGGATAAGGACCCCACCGAAATTCAGAGGGGCATGTAACCCAACATCATAGAGAGAGAAGTGTAGTTCCAGGTGCCACATGAACTCAGATGAAGAAATAATAAAATTAAGCAGAAATATTTGTTGCACAACCATAATAAATACAACGCTGTATTAAAGAGCTGTGAGGAGCAACAAAAGCAAGAGAAGCATGCTATCTTTTAAGTAGAGTCCAAAGTACCTTGAGAAAAAGAAGAAAACATACATGAAAAGAATTATTGCAAAAAAAAATCAAATACAAATTCATATTGCTCACAATATATATACCATAGGACAAATTATAATGAAATCACCAGTTATTAATATCTCTCCCTATTACTATAAAAGAAAACCAAACTAAAACCATATTATTAAGAACTTATATACATAGTGAAAAAATATATTTAAAAGTGTCTTTCTCTTTTTTTAATAATAGTATTATTTGTGCATTAAAAAAACTTTGGGCAGTACAGATAATTTTTAAAAAATATTTTTAAGTCACCATCAATACTATTGTAGAAAATCAACTCCTATTAATATTTTAGTGTATTTCTTCTAAAATTTCTTATGTTTATTTTCTCTCCTAATGTTATAATACTATATAATCTTTATATAAACAAGTATATGATTTTTTTACATAAAATATTAACATAAATATTTTCTCATTTACATGTTTCATAGACATGTTTTAGGATGCATAATATTCTTTGCAGGTGTATTTTAATTAATTATATGTTATTATTGGGGTATTTAGGCTTTTTATAAAGCATTTTTCATTTTTAAAGTTATGTCAAGATGAATTAGCAGAAGTAAAATTATTGAATCAAATGTGAAAATTTTTTAAATTCTTGACATGTCTGTCAAATTGCTTTCTGAAATGATTTCCAATATACTGAGCACAGAGTATCATTTTTTTAAAAATCCTTTTAAATTTTGAATACCAGAGAGGTTACATTTTTTCATATGCCTGTTAACCAGTTGTGTTTCCTTTCTAAAATGTCTTTTGCCGAAATGTATTGAGATCTTGAGATTAAGAAACACTCTTTTAAATCAAAGTGTTTTTTTTTTTTTCTTCTTCTTTCATTTCGTAGCCAGAGAAACTCTACCTGATTTGGTTTCCATAATTCCCGACACAGTCCCAAGTACTGACCTTCTCATAGAAACTACAGCCTCTGCCTGTTACACGTTGAACAATTTAATCCAGAATAGTTACCAGAATGCCCGGGATCTTCTAAACACCGGAGGCCTGCAGAAAATTATGACCATCAGCGCAGGCGATGCGTAAGTCCTTTAGCATCTGCCCATCGGCTGTCTCTCCTTTCCTCAACACCACTCTCATATGTAAATTTAGTTATGAACTTTCAGGCATTGGGCACCCTGGGCCTCAGGGTCAAAAGCAAGATTGTAAAGCTGGGCCAGATCATCTGCTCCAATCCTTGGTGATCAAGCTAGTGGATCTTCCAAGCCAAATACTTGCCCGTTCTCTCCTAAAATATTCAGAGATAGTCAAACTCCATAGCTTCTCTGGGTAGTGCATTCCAGCATTTTATTGACCTGATGAATTAATTTGTTTCCCAGAACTACAGCTGTGAGTTAAGAACAGCAGAGTGTAGTCAAGGTTGGGAGTCCTGTGGACAGAGAATGCCCTTTTCTCACTTAAATTTGTGGAGCCAGGGTCACCCCCACATGGCTTAGAAGCAGTGATAGCACAAGAAGTGGGAGGCAGCATAGCAAGAAGTTCTTTCTTTCTTAGTTTTCTCTGTCACATCTATTTTACCTCAGTCTTTTCAAGAATATAAGGTCTAATGCATATATGTCATCTCACATCCCTATTTCTGTCTTTAAATTTCTCCATTTAAAAAAAGAAAGTGAAGAAGAGAGTTAAAAACCTTGTGTAACCAAATTATTACTATTAGTTAATTTAGAGCAATGGGACCCAAAGGGGGCATGAAGATTATTATCTTTTTCTTTTATACAATTCTGATTTGTTTGACTTGTTAAATGCAAGTTCCTTTTGTAAATAACCAAAAAAAAAGAAATGTTATATCCCAGTTCTAATCAGTTGCAAACCAAAGGGATTTCACCTGTAGTAGACAGATGTGTGCTTGGCCACACAGGGAAACATAGGAGTCTGTGGTATCCTGGAATGAACTCACATGCCCTCGCCACAACCCCACCCAGTGTAGAACCCTTATGCTCTACAGCCCCACTCTGGCAAAGCTCATGGGGAAGGAAGATCGCATTCAGAGTAATATGATTAAAAAGAGCACTGAGTAGAATATTGGTTCCCCAAGAACAGGTAGTATTCACCTGTCCCAGAGCCTGGCAGATAGCAGTTGCTCGGTCTTTGTGGAAAGAATGAATTATTGCTGCAAAAGAGAAATAACTGTTCTAAGTAGTCATCTAACCTTCTAAGCAACTCTCCATAAGACCATATGATTTTATTATTTGAATATTCAGATCTAACAAGCACAGGGGAATACATCTCACTTTTGAAAACTTCTTATAGCTTAGCAACATACAGGGTGTACTATTTTTATAATTCATGGGTGTCAACCCAAATAAAGAGATAAACTGAGGAAAAGTCAAATTACCAGAATTTGAGTTTATTCAGGAATAGCAGAAGCATTGCAATTCAGGAAGCACGTGCTGTGGCAGGCTACAAGGGAATCCACTGAGGGTTTGAAGTGGGCTGTATTTATGGGCAAGGATGTATGTATGGGGCATGCCCACACAAAATTTAAGCAGTAAGTTCATTGGCTTGAGGATGGGGTGAAATCCTCGGCAGATGTTCATTGGTCAGGAGATAGTCTCTGTCTTCTGTAAATCAGGCACTTATAAGGAATCAGCCTCTCCCTTCTGAACTTTCCTTCTTTTGAGGAAGCGTGCATGACATTCTCCATTTCATATCCTCCAGTTCCATTTTACATTGAAATCCTTTCACATGGACTAGACTGGGAACCAGTGATCATTTACAACATTTTATCTTTGAGTAAATGAGTTCCAAATGTCAAAAAGAAAGAAAGAAAGAAAGAAAACCTATAGGCAGACTATAAATATAACACCGTTGTGAGGAAGAGGACAAATAATTCTCACTCTACCCTTCTAGGTGCTTGGCTGAGACACCCCTGTTATAAAAAAAGACATATTCACAGGAGAAAAACAGAAATTTAATGACATGTATACTTCCTGTATACGTGGGAGAGACCCAGGAAAGCTGAGTAGCTCCTCAGTGTGGTCTGAGGTTAAAAAACACCTCTAGTTAGAGACAAAAGAAGTTGTTGGAGGTAGAGTGAGGCTATTAATGGGAGGTTACCAGGAAAAGCACAGTAAACTAGAGTAAGATTGTTATGCAGATTTAAGTCCTTACCTTCTCCATTATAAGAATTTCTAAAGATTTGGAGTCACGCTTCACTTCCTGGTCCAGAGGGGAAGACAATTCTTGTACATGAGGATTTCCCTTATAAATGTAAATGTCTCTTATGCAAGGATAACTTCTACTGGGTTTTCAGAGCTTTTCCAATATCTTAAAAATAATCAGCCTAAAATAATTTTTATGCTGAAGAGGCATATTTTAGGTTGGTATATTCTGCTCCCATTCGCTTGCTATTTAAGAACATTTTAAATATTAGAGACCCATAGCTTTCATGGTTTTATTAGTACTTCAATTATAAGCAAGCTACTTTGAGGAGTCCATGAGGTACTAAAAAAATTTGGAGCTGGTAATTTGACTTACCCCCTGCAAGGCTGGTATGGAAGAGTCTTTTAGCTAATGAAGGAACCCAGCATGCACGACCTTTTCCATACAACTTAACATTCTCTATTCTTGGTTGCATGTTTGGAAACACCTATGATAGGTGCCGCGTCCTCTTTTTACCCTACTGCGTGACAAGGTCCAGAGATGGGGACAGAAGCTTCAAGGAATGCATCGTCAAGAACGAGGACATGGCATGTGTTTAGGGATAATTGGTTTCTTAGGAACGATCCTATTAATAGGGAGAATTTGGGTAGCACAAATTCTAGTAAGTGTAAATGCTGTACAAGTGGATTTCCTCAAAATTGGCTCTGAGGAAAACATAGTAAATTCCCCACGTATGGAATCAGCTCCAGTCACCCTGACGTGTCCAGAATGCGTAAACCCTTTATTTGAACAATTATTAAGGGCAATT